AACTTTGAAACCTTAAAATGTTCATGATTATTTGAATTAGTATAGGCCCAATATTTGTAAAAAGAATTTCTGTGAAATCTTACAGATATTGTTCTCAGCTTTGTAGATTGCTTTTTTCTTCTTATAGAATCAGGATGAGGAAGAAACTTACTCCTCCCCCTCTCATCCTTTGTTTTCTTCTTGTAACATACATTCACGATGTCCATCAGCTCTTTTTCTAGCTGATTCTTAATGTTATTATACTTATGAGAAAACAAATTGTTAATTATCATATAACAAAGTGTGGGTTCCTTTCATGAAATTGAACTTCATACCTTTAACTTTCTAAGGCATGAATAAACGTTAGGTTTGCACAGAAATTGTTCATTTCTCGAAGACCATCTAAACGTTTAAAAATGTCTCTCTCATTTTGCGTATAAGTTCAGCCTTCATTTCTTTTATCATACTTGTAGTAACAATATATTGCTGTACTGATTAGACCTTGTAGTAACAATATATTGCTGTACTGATTAGACCTTGTAGTAACAATATATTGATCTACTGATTAGACCTTGTAGTAACAATATATTGCTCTACTGATTAGACCTTGTAGTAACAATATATTGCTCTACTGATTAGACCTTGTAGTAACAATATATTGCTGTACTGATTAGACCTTGTAGTAACAATATATTGCTCTACTGATTAGACCTTAAAAGAATACCAGTTTCTGCATCTTCATCCCCAACAAAATGATCATGTAGAAATAGCCTGGTTAAATGTTAGTTGATTTGTTTGGCAACATGGTTTTGTTTTATGGTGTAGTAAAGTACAAGTCATTAGCACTATATAAACTTCAAGATGTGGATTTGAATCTCCATTTAAATGCTTTATGATATTCAATATCTCTCAGTTTATAGTTTGGTGTAACATAAAACTATGATTCAGGAAGCTGCAGTAAAGAAAAGACCACAACATTTTAAAACTTTTGGAATTGTAAAAAGCTTTATTAATGTTTTTCAGAACACAAGACCACACAAAGTTTATTGGAGCTTTTAAAGATAAACAGGACTTCATTGACTTGGTTGAGGTTATCTATCGTGGGGCAATGCGTGGAAAACTCATGGTTAGATCTCCAATTGATCCTTCAAGGGTGCCAAAGTATGACCTTCTCTATATGGATATCTAAAGTTCTCGAAACTCAAATATTTGGTATTGATGTTGGAAAAGATGGATGATGTATAATATGTACATTTCACTTATAAGATACATTTTCATGTATTAAAATAATTTTCTATCAACTTTATTTATACGTATGTATATTATTTTAGTGAATCAACATTTTTGGGAATATATAATACATTAACACATTCACCTCTTCATTTCATAATGTGTTAGTGACCGAATATACAAGAGAAATTGCTCTGTCTATTTAGCAATAAATAGTGCATTATTAAGTAAACTAGTAAGTGTACAATCCAGACCCGCATACCAGTCAATGAGATTTAACAATCAACCCTTAATTACGGTCATTTTGGCTCAGTCCCAAATATTTACTTCTATTTTATGTTTGTAAAACATCCGCTATTATGGGCATTTGTATCGCGGTCAAATTGGCTTGTGGTCACCTGTTTCACAGTCCCAAGTGGTCTCTTTGAACTCAGTATTGCAGTCACCCAGGTCAGCTCTCACCTGCTGCTGCCCAATTGGGACCTGTCAATCAAAGTGAGGTCACTACCATATATCGAATGACAGCAGCCACATCTTGTAGATGTTACAAACCAGGTGACCATTGATGTTCCCTATTAAAGGCATGCTAATCCTACCTGATGCTTCACACCTCATACTGCACTGATGATCACACATACACGATCAAACAAACAGTATGTTTTCACACTCCTTTAAACTTTGTCATTTGTAACACTTCTAGTTCGGTGTCTCTTTGGTCTTCTTGTGAACAAAAGATTTGTTTAAAGGGGAAAATCTGCACATTCATTTCAAGTTTTGTCACCTGTCCCTCCATTTTGCAATAAATAGAGCTCTCCTTTCTCAGCCAAATCAATTGTCTCTGTTCTGTTCTGTTTACAGAAATGGCAGAAAGTTGTTGTTTCATGATTTGAGTATCATCATCATCAGGTGTCACCACATAAACAACAGCACCATGCCTTGGCCTCTGATACTGTGTGGTGCAAGGAACAGTCATGAAGCTCATTATCGTTCTAAGTTATGCATTTATCTGTTAATCAAAAATACAGCAGAGAATTTTATTTTTTAGACAAGAAATGCAAAAATAGGTGTGTAAAGATGTGATTACAACATTCTGTATCAAACAGGAACATAGAAAGGTGAGTATTATGGGCAAGTTGTAGGGGTATGTACTGTGCCTTCGTGGCCTGAGTCTTATCCCAGAGTTGACTCCATACGGTGATGCCGGGTAATACGGCCATCCCGCTATTCAACCATTAATTGCTTAGACCCCACAGCTGACCGGATAAATGGGGCTGGACTGTATTACAGTTGTAATACTAAAATATTTTAATTTTTGAATGAAAAATTTACGTGTTGATAGAAATATTTCTAGTACAAGGAGTAGTTTTTTTGTGTGTAAAACTCAAGACAGAATAGTATAAGGTTTACTTTATTGATAGTTATTATTTACACACAGATATATATATATACACATGCATGTAAGATTTTTTAATTTAAAATTTCTTTAGAAGCAAAC